GAACTCCTGAGCTCAAACAATCCGCCCGCCTCGGCCTCCCAGAGTGCTAGGATTACAGGCATGAGCCACCATGCCCGGCCTCACCACTGGACTCTTTCAAAGATTTTATGATTGTGGTCTCTGGTCTTCAGTCCCTGATTTCCTTTTGAGATGGTAGTTAGAAGCCCTTTGGGGACTTGAACTCTTTCCTTTTTTTTTTGAGACAGTCTTGCTCTGTCATCCTGGCTAGAGTGTACTAGCATCATCATACCTCCCTGCAACCTCAAAATTTCTGGGCTCAAGTGATCCTCCTGCCTCAGCCTCTTGAGTAGCTGGGACTGCAGATGTGCACTGCTACACCCAGATACTTTTTCTATTTTTAGTAGACACAGGGTCTTGCTCTTGCTCAGGCTGTTCTCGAACTCCTGAGCTCAAGTGATCCTCCTGCCTCAGCCTCCCAGAGTGCTAGGATTACAGGCGTGAGCCACCATGCCCGGCCTTGAACTCTTTTCTTACTGAAGGAGGACTTCCCAACCCTTTCCCGTTTGGCAATGCCATTATGGCTCCTCTCTCCTAGAAGGCTCTCCGTCTAGCAGCAGGTCTAAGGTGCAACCAATGCAGAATAGAGGATTTTCTCAAGAAAGTGGCTGGCATCTGAGACCTCCTGACTGAACTATGCATATTCCATCGGAGCTCTGACAAAATGATCAAGGCCTGAATTCTCTTCATGGAAGAGATAGGACTTGGAAAGCTTTTCTTGTAGGGCCAGAGAAGAGTGCGAGGAGAGGAAATACTGAAATGTATTCCTTCACTACATCATCAGTCCTTTCTTATACTTACATGAGCTCAAAGATCTCCCCAATAAGCATACATGTGAAGCCATTCTTCTGGTGTAGATTATAAACGTGTTATTGTTAAGAAAAAGTGGTCAGTAAAGACAGAAGTTAAAGCACAGACTTTGGTGTCATATACCTGAGCTTAAGACCTGGCACTGTGACTTTCTAGCTGTGTGACTTTGGCTAAATTACTTAACATCTCTAAGCTTTGTCCACAGTGGTAAGTTAAGAATAATATCACCTGTCTCATAAGATTATCAGGTCTGAGACAATGCATGTAAAGTATTTAATACAGAGCTGACAAAGAATGAGTCAAAACATATTAATTATTACGATTATTAACATCCCATCAAAAAGGAGGATCACCCTTAGAAAGGTTCCTTATAAATTAATACCACAAAGTACAAATAGGTACATAACTCTCGGTAAATGTGAGGTATCGTTATTTTTAAAGATCATTATTTCACCAGCCTCTCTCAGCCTCAGGATGAGCTCTATTCCCCCTTCTGGGGATTAGAGTCAAACCTACCCCAACTTCCATCAGGGACCTGGCTTAGAGAGGGGCTAAAGGTCCCAGAGCTCCAACACAGAGACACAAAGGATATTCGAGAGAAGAAGAGGTCAAGGTTTTCAATGTGGTGCCAAGGTGCTGTGGGCACAGGAACAGAGATGTCAGAGCCCTAAAGGGACACAAGCCCCTTGCTCCCTCAGTGTTCCTCCACCAGCTCTCCCTCATGCCCCAGCTCTGGCTGTCACGTCCAAGAACTCACACTTGCTCCCCTCAGCAACGTGCACCAACAGGTCCTCCTCTCCGGGGGGTGAATCACTGTAGGAGGCCTCTAGGCGCTGGTATTCAGTGTCAAACTGCGCCATCACCACCGCCCCCTGTCCACCTTGTCCACCTGCCAGTGATGAGGAAGAAGAAACCCTGGTTCAGACCCAGGTGCTGTCTGCCTGCTGCCCTGCCTACCAGGCCAGAAGGAGTGAGAAAGAATCCTTGGGCTTCATCTTCACTACCAGTCTCCTCAGCTCAAAGGCAGAGAAGTAACTTGCAGAGTGTAGTAAGCTCAGAGTTTGGGAGGCCTTAACTCTGGTCAAGTCATTCCCAGAGTCTTTACTGGGTGTCTACTGATGACTTCCTGCCCTGAAGCCAGGATCTGCCCCTACGTGGGGGCTGTTTCATCTTCTATTCAATGGAGAGGAGGGTCCCTCCCCCAACCCTCCTGGGAACTGTGATCTCTCAAGAGACTAGCAGTTTGGAAGCACTTTGTAAACAAAGGTTTGAGATAAGTACATGGCCCTACCAGCTCCATGGACAGTGTCTGCTCCACTCCAGCCCTCGATGCCCTGGTCTGCAGCTGCTGGAGGAGAAGGTGTCAGGCCCCAGAGAGTGTGGAGTGGGGACAGAAAGGAACCCCACCCTCCCACCCACCCATGCCCCACTAAGAGGAGGCCGAGTGTGGGGAAGAGGCACCCTTCCAGCCTAGGACTATGAGCACTTCCTCTGGCTGTGCTATCCAGGGCCACTCATCCACCCCTAGGGTCCCAAGAAGTAACTTACTGGCCCAGTGGAGACTAAGTCAGTACCGGCCTGAGGCCAAGCAGCCCCTCTAGACTGTTTTTCTATTGCTCCACCTCAGCCTCAGAAATTAGGCATGCTTCTCAGGGTCCACAAAACCTCCAAAGAGAGTCTTTTCCGAATAGGACCTTTCTGGTAAACCCCTTCCCCTGCTTTCCTAGCACCAAAAGGCCCAGCAGGCAAGCACAGCTCTTGGATAGCAAATCTTGACCGGGACAGTGTAGGTCCCAGATCCTGGGTGAATTTGTGGGTCACTGTAGGTCCCAGGAGCCAGGCATGGTCGAGGTGGTACTCACCCTGTCAGTGTAGACTTTGGGGGCCGTGGATTTCGGCCTAGCCTGGCCCCAGTGGGATTCCCTTGGCTAGTGAGAGCCCTGCTTCTCAGGGAAGTCACCACTCACTGGGTCAGTGTGGACCCTGGGCCCATGGAGCCCTGGCCGGCCCGGCCTGGGCTCAGGGGCTCCTGCGGATGTTGGAGGGCTCGAGCCAGTCCTACAGCTGATACCCCGGGTGGGCTGGGTTGCCTCCTCACACCCAGCCGCGGCGACCCGAGCCCAGCACGCCCCAGGGTTGCCGGGCCCCAGGCAAGGGTTCGGCTCCCAACAGCGGACAACCTCGCGCGCGCCCCCGTCGCTCGCGCGCGCCCCTACCCGCGCGTGCCCGCTATCAAAACATTCTGGCTGCGCGCCCCCGCCCCACCCGCGGTGCCCCTTCCCCCGTTACCCGCCGCGAGCTTGCTTAGAGCTCCGCAGGCACCCCTAACCAAGGCCGACCCGGGCCTGTGGATTCCAATGGCCGGTCTCCCGTTTCACCTCAGGAACGGCGACCCGGGTGATTCCAGAGACTCGATCGGCTCGCCTTGGCTTAGCTCGGCCCGGCCCAGAGCGCTAGGCCTGTCGTCTGCCATTCACTGTCACCCGCAGCCAGCCTGGCCAATGAACATGGGGGGTGGAGACACAACGGCCAATTCTCGGCCTTGGGGGCGGGACTAAAGGCTAGAGGCGGGTCTTGGGCAGTCAGAGGACCAATAATGTGCTCTACGTGGGGCGGGGCTCAGGTGCAGGGGACGCCGGTTGTCCTCTTCGCTGCTCCGTAGTGACGGCGATTGTTGTGGTGTTGCAGAAATCCGGCCTTGGAACTGTGGACGTGCGTGTCGCTCGGCTCCTGGGACATTTGGTGCAGCTTCTGAGGGCGGGGACGAGTTGACGCGGTTCAGTCTTTGCTTGTCGCTCGGGTAACGAAGAGCGGTCTGTTAGGCAACCTCAGCGATTTAAATTTTGTTGGCCTAGATTTGGGAGTTGGATGTCCCCCTTTCATTTTTTTATGGGCCGAGACTGGGGGTTTTAGAAAGCGGACCGGGATCACGTATTTACTCCACAGTTGACTCCTGACCTCAGGTTGAGGGCCGAGGTGCCTTGCGGCATGGGGGAGACCAAATCAGGCGGGCAGGAGACGCGGCAGTAGGATCTCGCTTTGGGGAGCTCTGTTTCTTACCTTCTTTCTGCTCCAGGAGCTGCTTCTAAGTAATTTCTGCTCAGCCATGTCGCCAACTCCGGCTCCTGCGTTGGTCTCCCTGTTTGACCTCAGTGCGGATGCTCCAGTCCTTCAGGGCCTTAGGCTGGTGAGCCACACGCCCGGCGAGGCTGTGGCCCCAGCTCTGCGTACTTCGTATGCAGGTATCCAGGAAGGTGTGGGCTGGACCATGAGGAACGTGACAAGACTCTTAGGAGCTTGTTGCTCCACCAGAGAACACATTCTTATTGGTATTCCCCACCTTAGGAGCCCACGTTGACTAATCTTTCTGCTGGATAAAATTTGTTTTAAATTCACTTAATCTCTGGGTATTTTCCAGCAAAGCCCCTCAGTTATCTCCAAACAAGTTTTTTGCTTCTTCACATTAACACCATTGCCTTCAAAAACACTTCAGAATTCCTAGTTATAGTATAAATTTAACTGATTCCAATCAAATCGTTCCTTTTTGTTGACTATGAAGCAATTTATTATTGGTTTTGTATAACTTTAATTTGTCTTTGGCTACATGTTTTCTTGCACCTCTCTTTAGAAAAAATGCACACTGTAATTGGAAATGTAAACTTAAAAAAAGGCATCTGGAAAGTTTTTCAAGAGTTAAATATTTTAAACTTATCAGAAATTATTTTCTATAGGATTCCTCTAAACAATCTCTTTGGCTAATCTAAATACAATATTCATATTCATTTTACACACATCTTTTCAGAAGCGTATTTATTGCATAAAGTGACTGCAGTACCATTTATTTCATGATTATTAGATTGTAAATTCCTCAAAGGCAAGGTCATGCTATCTCTTTCTTTTGTATTCTCCTCTGCTTTATATATCAGATACTGAATATAATTCCAGCACTGTGGATTTGGGCTCCCTTTCTGTCTCCAATTACTCTTCTCTTATTTAGGTTCAGATGAGAGGGAGAGCCCAGAAAGAAAACTGCTCCAGGGTCCTATGGATATTTCAGAGAAGTTAAGCTGTTCAACCTGTGACCAGACCTTCCAAAACCGCCAGGAACAGGTAAAAAGCCAGGGTGCTGAGCTAGAAGCAAAAGTGTAATGATGGGTAGGGAGAGGTAGGCATTTCATTTGTCTTAAATTAATAAAGGTCCATGCTTTGACTGAGGCAGTGTTACCCAGTCATACTTCCTGGAATTCTATTACTTGTCTTGGTTAGTATACAAGGCCAAGGTGGGGCATATTTCTACTTTCTGCCTCATTCTTTGTCTTTGTACCAGAGGGAACATTATAAGCTTGACTGGCATCGGTTTAACCTAAAGCAACGTCTCAAGGACAAGCCTCTCCTGTCTGCCCTGGACTTTGAAAAGCAGAGCTCCACAGGTGAGAGGACATGAGGGTAGAAGGCCTTAGTTTAGTAGTTTAAGAAAAGGTCAAGGATGGTGTACCAAGCTTGTGTATCTCATGTTGTCTACAGGAGATCTTTCCAGCATCTCAGGATCAGAAGACTCAGACTCAGCCAGTGAGGAGGACTTACAGACACTGGATGAGAAGAGGCCTGAATTTGAGAAGCCTTACCGACCCCAAGGCTTCTACCCTCATCGGGTTCTTTTCCAAAATGCCCAGGGCCAGTTTCTTTATGTCTACCGCTGTGTCCTAGGCCCTCACCAGGCAAGTGACAGTATAGATTGTGTGGTCAACTGCAGCCTTTTGTACACTCAGCAAAGATTTCCTCTTAGCCCAGTCCGTTTCTCACTATTTTCATTCCTTCCTGTTGAGTGTGGATGTCACACTTGACAACAGCATCTTGTATTGAAACTGGCCTGAATCTTGGAAAGGTCAAGTGTAATAGAATTAAGTTTAGAAATAGACCACTCTCTGTTTGAATTGTGGTTCTATCACTTCATCTTGACTACCTCTCTAAGCCTCAAATTTCTATGCCAAATGGAAACAAGCCTCAGGGTAGTTGTGTTAAATGTGTTAATGTATATGCAGCACTTAGCACTGGCACTTGGTTTCTTGTTCTCAATGAATGCAACAGATAGAATGTTTCTGCTGCTTCTCTGTCCTGCAGGTTCCCCCAGAAGAGGCAGAACTGCTGCTACAGAACCTGCAAAGTGGAGGTCCCAGATACTGCGTGGTGCTCATGGCTGCAGCTGGGCACTTTGCTGGTGCAGTATTTCAAGGGTAAGAGGGTGCTGTATGGGGTAAGGATGGAGTGGATCCTATTAGCCTGGGAGCACCAGCTGGTCTCCAGTGCTGAGTCTGTGCTGTCTACAGAAGAGAAGTGGTGATACACAAAACCTTTCACCGCTACACAGTGCGTGCCAAGCGGGGCACAGCCCAAGGACTTCGGGATGCCCGAGGTGGGGCACCACGCTCTGCTGGAGCCAACCTGAGGCGCTATAACGAAGTCACATTATATAAGGTGAGGTAGGCCTCCCAGATCTGGTAATCCTCTAATCCACACTTTTTTACCTCTCAATTCAACTCATTAAATTTTGCAGTAGGGAGATTTTTGACTCCTATATCCTTCCAATTTTCATTATTTCTAGGTAGACACAGGTAGAATAGGGATCCCAGGAGCCTTAGTCCTCTTTCTTTCTCCCTTTGTTTTATCTTCTACCTCCCACTTCCTGCACATGATCTGTGGGCCAGTTTTTGGGTTGGAGATTTAAAGATAGTAAATGAAGATATGCAGGGCTGAGTTACTCTCTTCTGTAGGATGTTCGTGATCTGCTAGCAGGGCCAGGCTGGGCTAAGGCGCTGGAGGAGGCTGGGACAATACTGCTACGTGCTCCCCACTCTGGCCGGTCCTTGTTCTTTGGAGGCCATGGGGCACCCCTGCAAAGGGGAGATCCCCGACTTTGGGATATCCCCCTCGCCACCCGCAGACCCACCTTCCAAGAGCTACAGCGTGTGCTCCAAAAGCTGACAACCTTGTATATACATGGTGAGCCTTTGATCCAGATCCCCAGACTCCCTAGACCTTCCTACTCTCCAGCCTAAGCCTCAGTTCTTAGTTATATACCCAGAAGGTTTTCTAGCCCTTGGACTGCTGGCCAATTACATCTTCATTGACAGAAATCTGGGCTGGCTTCTCCTCAGCTAAGTTCGAGAAACATCTTTTGTTTTATGGCAGGAGAAGACCCTTGGGAAGCAGTCAGATTTCCCTCACCTCAGACCCACTGGAAGACAGTGAGAGAGGAGAAGAAGAAGACTACTGAGGAAGAAAGAAGAAAGGTCTCCAGTGATAAAAATGAGACACTTGGGCAGAATGAGGAATCTCACAAACAGGGTTTGAGTACTATCTGGCAATTGTCAAATCTATCTGGGTTTCTGTCCTAGAAATGCAGTGGCAAATTCCCTACTCTCATAACTGACCCATTTCCCTATTTATAGATAGGTCCCTATACAACACACACACCTAGCATCTGTTTATAAAGTGGGATATGTCATAGCAATTACTGAGACATGTTTAGTGATCTTTCCAGATCTCCTATTATCTCTTTTGTTCATGGATGTTCCGTCAATACTTAGAAAAGTCCTAGCACAGAGTCGATCCATGTGTTGCATGGATCTCACATAGCTTATCTGTCTTTTATTGCATCCTGTGGTTTTGGGCTAAGGGCCACTTCCATGGTTTCCTCTGTTGTGCATCATCCTAAGGCTGCTCATAGGGAGAGTCCAGGGACTTTTGTCTCTGAATATCTCCTTCTGGTCCTGTCCTTGTCTGTGCTGAGAACCTAATTTATGCATGTGATAGAATGGACTTAGTTCTTGATATGCTATTTTATCTGAATAACAAAATAAAGACTATTTCATTCCAGGATGATCTGGATTATCTCTTTATAGACAATTCTTATGCATCTGAGGTAGTCCATATGCTTCCACCCTCTGCTTACTCCTTCGATGGATTTGACATGTCAAATATTCTCCTAGGTTCAGGGTCGGAAGGAGAGGATGGCTTACAGGTAGAGTTGGAGCTAGTGGAGTTGACACTGGGGACCCTGGATCTTCGTGAGTTTGAGGTATTGCCCAAGCAAAAGAAGAAAAGAAGGAATAAGAAGGAGAGAAGCCGAGACCAGGAGGCTGGGACACATATGACTCTTCTCCAGCAATCTCAAGAAGATGAGCCTTTCTCACAGTCTGCCCAGGCAGTTACAGCCCCCTTGGGCCCTTCGCTGGATGAGTCCAAGGCCCCTGGTCAGCCAGAGCCCTGGGATGTGCTTCTAGCTGCTTGCCGAGCTGGAGACGTTGGAATGCTGAAGCTCCAGCTAGCTGCCAGCCCTGTAGACTCTGGAGTTATGTCTCTGCTCAGTGCCCCCTTGGGCTCTGGTGGCTTTACTCTCCTGCATGCAGCAGCCGCAGCTGGAAGAGGCTCAGTGGTTCATCTGCTGCTGGAGGCAGGTGCTGACCCCACTGTGCAGTAAGTGAGGGTCCCCATCTTGAGCCATTTTGGGTATAGAGAGGATAATTGGGAGGCTAAAGTTGGCATTGGCTACTTGACAGTATTCCCTTGATCTGATTGGGTGATGTTGGGAAAGGCCGGAGGCAAGTCGAACCCATTTTTTGGGTCTTTACACCTAGGGACTCCCGAGCCCGGCCACCTTATACCGTTGCAGCTGACAAATCAACACGTAATGAGTTCCGAAGATTCATGGAGAAGAATCCAGATGCCTATGACTATAACAAGGCTCAGGTCAGCTGGAAAAGGAAGAAGCAGAGTGGGAGACCATCGTAGATCCTGGCTAAATCCTTCCTACCTCCTTGCAGTTTCACCAAGGATAGCTTGTGTGGGTCTTACCTAATATCTTCCCGAAATCCTCCAGGTGCCAGGGCCACTGACACCAGAAATGGAGGCCCGGCAGGCTATACGGAAAAGGGAGCAGAAGGTGGCTCGGCGGCGACGGGTGGAACAGCAGCGGGAGCAGCAGGAGCAGGAGGAGCGGGAGCAAGAAGAACAGCAACGATTTGCCGCCCTCAGTGACCGAGAAAAGGTGAGGCTGGAGGTTCTCTCTTCCACAGCAAGGCTTCCTTAGAGGTCTAAACACTTCCCCAGTATGCAGCTATCACTTCTTGGGTACCCTGTTCACCACTGGGGCTTTGTCCTTAATGCAACTTCCTTTTCCCTCAGAGAGCTCTGGCTGCAGAGCGCCGACTCGCTGCCCAGTTGGGAGCCCCTTCCCCTCCGATCCCTGATGCTGCAGTCCTCAATGCTCGGTGTGGGCCAGGGTGAGTGACTGGGTGGACTATAATGTTGTAGGGAACATTTTGGGCAAGTGGAATGAATGCCTACACAGTATTCAGAAAGGTTGTTGAGGGGATTTGAGGTGTTCTGGGAACCTTTGGAGCAAAAACAGAAATGGCAGGAGGAGGCATGGGGAGAGCTTGGGTTGGAAAGTTTCTGGGGTACCTATCCAGCCATTTTTCTTCCTCTTGTTCAGACGCTGCTGGAGTTGTGGGGCATCCCTCCAAGGCCTCATTCCCTTTCACTACCTCGACTTCTCGTTCTGCTCCACACGTTGCCTCCAGGATCATCGCCGTCGGGCAGGGAGGCCCTCTTCCTGATCTCTTACCGCTTCACCTGGGGCCAACTCTAGGCCCTAAGAGGGCACATTCACACTAGCCCTAGGTTTCTTCTTCCCCATGAAACCAGAGAGTATTTGGAAGATTAGGGTGAATGACACTCAGGAACCAGGGCAAAGACAGGGCCACAGAGGTGTGTGGAGCTGGTACTGTCTCTGGAGCTTTAATCACAATAAAGCTTGGCAAGGAATCTGCACTCGTACTTACATTCAGAGGCATTCTGGCCTTTGGTTCCTTATGGTCACCGTGGCCAGCACCAAGGGATCCTGCCCAATCCATGTCCCAGATCCAAGGGCTACCTTTCTTTCAGTGCCCACTTAACCGCATTGGTTCAGAGGCACTTAGTGAATCAGCTGAGAGGGAATAGATATATGTCTTGTGCAAGGTGCTATTGAGGATAGGCTTATCCAAAAATTGGATTTGGGGCTGGGAAGGCACATTTTCTAGCTCCAGCAATGTGATTTTGTTGAGCATTCCCCTAGGAAACAGCAGGGGTCTTGGCACGTAGAGGGTCTGCTGTGGCCCCCGTTTTGTCCAGTACCGGCCCAAGTTAAACCCATTGATCCAGACTTGGCCCTGAGGGGTGAGGGGGGGGGGGTGGGAAAAGAAAGAATCAGCTCTCTAGGCATCCCCTTTTGGGTTTCTAATCAGAGGATACTTTCTGCTTCCTCTCCCCACTGCCATTAGCAATACCTTAGTCCATCCAGGTAGATATAGAAATGTGTCCCCAACTGAGCCTAAAATTGGAAACGTTGTAGAGTAGAAGCTGGGGCCAGAAGGAGCTTGAGGTTGTGCACTTTTCGGCAACTGGAGAGGAAACCACCACTTCACAAGGTTATCAATTTTCAGAGGGAACATCATCCACTTGATAAGCATTGTTTGCCCCAGAATGGGTGGCTCTAACAGGCCCTGTAGGGAAGGCAAATGAAAAGTCATCATTCACTAAGCTCTAAGGCCAGACTATCCCTAATCAAGTCCTGGGATATAACTAGGCAAAGCTAGCTCACCTTGAAGTCACTGCTGTTAGACCCAAAACTGAGCCTCCCCATGTTCTCCACCAAGATATCCAGTCTGGCCCCCAGGTTCCCCATCAAAAATACTGTATGTCTCATATTTCGTTCCAAAACACCCTGGAACACCTGTGGATAAGATAGGATATATGAAAGGAAGGGCTCAGCATCTAGCTCTGAGTGGCCAAAGCATAGTTTGAAACCACATTAGGACACTTATTTGGAGAGCAAAGAGAATGCAGCCATCTGTCAGTTACCCATCCCTTCTGAGACTGTATCCTTAATCAAACTCTTCCTCATCCCAGCTTATCCCTGGAACCTCTGAGCAGGCAGATGGGAAAGGGGTAAATATGGGGAACTTAAGGCTAAAGGGTGGTGGGGAAGGGAGGAAATTGGGGCCTACAGTTGGCCTGGAATTAGGTTCTCACCCCATCCACCATCACATAGGCACGGTCATGGAGTCCATTATTTGGCACCCAGAGTGGTGTTGGCTCAAAAATGGTATGGATCAGATGGGTCCGATACAACATAAAGCCACGGTCCTGGGTGTGAAAGAATGAGTAATTGAGATGAACTGAGAGATAAGCAAGAACATTGTCGGGAAGATGGGAAGCTGGAGGGAACTTTTGGCTCCGGCTGTTGAGGAAGGTTGCCATTCCCACCAGATGTGAGTTTATGCCTTACCTGCTTTAAGGCCTCAAAGGTCATTGGCAAGATTGAGTGGATGGGCCCTCGGGGGCATAGAATGTCCAGGAAAGCCAGCAAATCCCCATCCTATTAGAATAAGGGGGAAGAATCAGAATAAGAGGAAGGCTCCTGTATAGAGAACAGGAGAGGATAGGCTATTTAGAAAATAAAGGGTTAGTATCTGAGAAAAGGTGGCAAGGAACTTACCAGACGCAGAGTCAAAGGTCCGAGCAGCATCTTGCGGCTAGGGGGAGGTAACGGTCCCAAGGGGACTTCCTGGAACTGAGCCCAAATTCTCTCAGGAGCCATAGGAAAACCACAGAAACAACACCTCTTCCAAGACCCTAGAGCAGGTTCTTAACCTGGGCCCCAGGGAAGGGCTTCAGGGGTCATGAAGACCCTGTAATTTTGCACACACATGTATTTCTTCCCACATAGTCCCATGAGTGGGAAATGCTTCCATGGGATGCTCAGAGGGCTCTGTGGCCCAGACAACAACCACCAATTTATGGGATCCCTTTATAATTTGGGCCCCCACTTCCCCCAAATTAATAAAAGCCTTTGGAGCTTAACAAAGTGATAGGGCACCTTGCTGATGATATTTCGAAGTGCAAAAAGCTTAGGTGTGGGGTCCCCTGCTTCAGATATAGGTGCATCGTAGTCATAGCTGGTAGTAATTGGAAGGAAGCGTCCCTTCTCATCAGCACCTGAGGTTGAGCCAGTTTAATTAATTCAACATATCTTTTGGATGATAGGCACTAAGCAAAGAGTTTCATGCAGAGGGGGCAGTGGTAGCCACATTCACCTTCTAGACATCTTAATTCATCCAGCCCTTAGATTCTAATTCTTTGTGTCCTCCCTGCTTCTGCCCCAGGGACCATCTAGACTCACCATTCCAGTATCCAAAGTTGGTACCACCATGGAACATGTACCTGAAGTGGGAGAGGGTCGGTGGGGGGAAGGTAAAAGCTAACTCATTGAATCTTAACTTTCATCCCCAACTCCCAGTTACAGATTTGGCCCCAGTATCTTCAGTTACATGTTCACACTGGCTCCCAACTTGAGCATCTTCTCTAGTCCTTTGGTTACAGCTGGAACGGACCGGGTGGAATGATTGTGGCCCCAGTAATCCAGCCAGCCTGTATAGTACTCAGAGTTCACCTACAGTGTGAAGTGAAAGGAGCCGTGAATGAGATGGGAACTGAGCTGGACCCATTCCCATCCCTGACTCTTGCTTTGATTCCCTTCCCCTCTGGCCCCTCACCAATGGTCCATGGGGTTCATACTGCCGAAGCAGGGTAAAGATTTTGGTCATGTTGTCAGCTGCAGAAAGGACGCAAAGCAAAAAGATAAATATCATAGAAGAGGTGTGCCTTCCCCAGACTCCACTCCTAACCCTTGCTTTGGAGACCTGGGCCAAAATCTACGGTGGTATAGAGTCCCTGGAGGGAGCCACATCTGAGTCCTTCAGGCCCATCTGTGGTGAAGAGCAAGATCTTATCTCCTAGTAGTGCACGGAAGAGCCCAGCCAGGTGCCTCATGTAGCTGAAGTCACAGGCCTTGTAGCTACCATATTCATTCTCCACCTGCCAGGGGGAAGGAAAAGTGGAGCCCAGTTATGAGGTAGAGGTCAAGGACCCCTTGTACCTCCTTCCCCTTGCCCATTCAACTTCCCCCTTGTACCTGAATGCTAATGATGTTGCCCCCATTGTGGTAGAGCCATGGATATATCTTGGGCAGCAAGACCTTGAACCAGGAGTCCACTGCAGCAAGGAAGTCTAAAGGAAATAGCAGCACCCTGCACATTAGGGGTTGCCACCACCAGCACAGCCCCCACCTCAGCATCCTTGCTAGTGACTTAAGTTCTGTCCATACTCTGGGCTATAGTTATCCACAACTAAATCTGGGAAACAGTGACTCTTGTCAGAAGAAACTCAGCCCTAAGGACTTGTATATATGCATGTCAATGAAATCTGAACACAGGAAACTTTAAACTAGTGTTTTCTTAAAAATAAATGTAGGAAAAATGTTATTGAACACACAGTGGAGAGCTATTATTATATAATCAACTCATATCTGAGATTGCTATAGCAGGGGAATTCACAGAAATGTAGACTGTCTGACCTGTACCCTGATGTAACTGACAGTGCAGGTAATTTAAGTCATCAACCAAAAGATCATCACACATGTTGAGCATCCCTATCTGAAATCTGAAATGCTCCAAAATCTGAAACTTTTTGAGTACTGATAAGATGCCACAAGTGGACAATTCCACATTTGACCCTTTGCTTCCTGATGGTTTAATGTACATACTTTGTTTCATGCATGAAGTTATTAAAATATTTTATAAAATTACCTTCAGGCTGTGTGTATAAGGTGTATATGAAACATAAATAAATTTTGTGTTTAGACTTGGGTCCCATCCTCAAGATATCTCATTAGGTATATGCAAATATTCCAAAACCTGAAATTGGATACACTTCTGGTCCCAAGCATTTTCAGACAAGGGATACTCAACCTGTATTATGCATCATGACTTAAATTCTCAGCTCCTTGTGATTTTTGTGATTCACCTCAGGGTCTTCATGCATGTTACTATCTCTGCCTGACACTTTTCTACCTCTCCTTTACCCAGCCAACTCCAACTCATGCTTCAATTCTTATGCCTTACTTCTTCAAGAAAACTTCTGATAGCCCAGATTAGGATAGATCCCCCCATTAGACAGTTTTGCATGGTCTCATAGTTCTCTTTTAAATACTTAACAAGTTATAATTGAGCATTTATTTCTGTAATTGTTTCTTGTTGATTTCCCCCACTAGTGAGCAGGAAGCTTGTCTGTCAGGTTAGTTTGCTGCATCCCTATCGTAAGGACACAGCCTAGCAGATAGAAGACTCTCAAAGGTGGATTCAATGAAAGATATTTGGGGGGGATTTTTTTAATTCTTAAAATACTAGATTCCTTTACATTTTATGTTCTGTATAAAGGAGGACTTTGCTTTACTGCCTCTTTTAATCCAAGCATACGCTAAATCACATTCATTCATTCAACAAATATTTATGGGTGCTGACCATGCGCCAAATACTGTTCTAGGTGTTAGGGATGTTAGAAGCAAATAAAACAGACAAAAATGTCTGCCCTTGTGGAATTTCCTTTCTAGTAAGGGAGGCAGACAATAAAGTAAGTAAATCAGGTGAAATACATAGTGTATTAGTGCTACGGAGAAAAAACAAAGCAGAAAAGGAAGACATACAATGATGGGGAAGGGACGCTGAAAATATAGAATGGCCAAGGCCTCACTGAGGTGATTTCTCCAGGAAGATTGAGGAAGCACCAAGTGCAAAGGCCTCAGAGCCCAAGGCCTGGAGGGTTTGAAAACCAGCAATGAGGCCAGTGTGGCTGGAGCTGAGTAAACAAGGAGGGGGGAAGCAGATGCCAGGGAAGTGACTGGGACCAATTATGTAGGACTTCGTAGACCATTTTAAGGAATTCATGGTTCATATTCTGAATGAAATGAGAACCTTTTGGAGAGGTTTAAGCAGGGAAATGACATGATCTGAGATGTATACTTAAACCTAAGCTTTAAGAGGATCATAAGTGAGAACAGACTATATGGGGGAGAGGGCAAACAAGGGAAACCAGTTAGGAAGCTGTTAAAATAAGCCAGCTGAGAGAGATGGTTTGGACCAGGGTGGTAGAAGTGGGCATAATACAAAGTAGTTAAGTTCAATGTTTGTGAGGGTAAAGCTGACAGGATTTTTTGATGGATCGAATGTGGGGTGTGAGAAAGTCGGCCGTGAAGGGTTACACTATAGTGCTTAGCCTGCCTGCTAGGAAAACGGAGTTGCCACTAAGTGAGATGGGAAGACTGAAGGAACAGCTGGTTTGGGAGGCAATGCCAGGAGCTTAGTTGTATCATTATACCTTTTACTTGTCCAAATGGAGAAGTTAAATAGGCAGCTGGATATATGTGTTTGGAAGTCAAAGGAAATGTCCTGGCTAAAGATACATATTTCAGGGTCATTGGCTATTAGTTGGAATTTAAATCCACCTAGGGAATGAGAATACATAGAAGAGAAGGTCCAAGGACTGAGCCCTGATACACTCTAGCATTTAGTGGAAAGGAAAATGGAGAACCAGAAAGAGACTGAGAAAGAGTGGTCAGAAAGATTGAGGGCAGGGGCAGGGACCAGATAAGTGAGGTGTCATGGAAGCCAAGAGAAGAGCGTTATTTCAAAGGATAGTGTGACTAGCTGTGTCAAATGCTGATTGGCCAAGAGGATGAGGCCTGAGAGATCACCATGGATTTAGCAATGTAGAGGTCATTGGTGGTCTTAAGCAAAACAAAGACTGCATGTTGGTATTCCATAAATATTTTATCATTTTATTTTATTATTTTTAATTTAAAAAAATTTTTTTAGAGATAGTGTCTCACTCTGTCACCCAGGCTGGAGTACAGTGGAGCAATCATAGCTCAGTGCAGCCTTGAACTCCTAGAGTCAAATGATCCTCTTCCCTAGCCTTTTGGTGGCTGGAACTACAAGTATGTGCCACCACACCCAGCTAAATTTTTCTTATTTTTTTGTAGAGATGGGGTTTTGATATTTTGCTCAGGCTGGTGTTGAACTCTTGGCCTCAAGCGATCCTCCCACCTCAGCCTCCCAAAGTGCTGGATTACAGGCATGAGCCACTATGCCCAGCTCACTTTATCATTTTTAATGTATTTCATAGTCATGTGAGTTTGGGAAATGCTAAGGGGCATAAAGCTCTCCAGCACCTGAAGAATCCCCAGATATAAGGCATTTTGCCAGAGTGATCTTTAAAAATGTATAAATCAGATAAAATTATTCCCTTGTTCTAATGACTTCCTATTTGCACCTGAAATGAAACCCCAACTCATTGAAATATTAGGCATCCTCGGAGCTTAATCTTAAATTCTTTTTTCTTTCTCTACACTCTTTCCCCAGATGATGTCTCAGGACTCATGGGTTTAAATGCCATCTTTAGACTGATGACTTCCAAATTTATATCTCTAGCTCAGACTGCTCCACTAAGCTCTACACTCACACAACCTGTTGCTTACTTAATATCCTCACTTGAATGTGACATGACAGAAATGTAATATGAGAAGAACAAAATTGTTTTTTCCCCCAAAGTTGTTCATCTGCCACCCCTAGTCTTGACTGGCCAGAAACTTGATTCCTTTCTTTCCTTACCCTAACACCACCCCGACCCCTCCACTTCTAATCAAAATCTATCAACAAGTCCTGGTGATTTTTTTTTTTTTAGATAGGGTCTCCCTCTGTTACCCAGGCTAGAATGCAGTGGTAATCATAGCTCACTGTGGCCTCCAACTCCTGGGTTCAAGCGATCCTCCTGCCTCAGCCTCCCAAGTGGCCACCTGCCTGGTTAATTTTTAAATTTTTTATAGAGACAGCGTCTCACTTTGTTGCCCAGCCTGGTCTCAAACTCCTGGACTCAAGCGATCCTCCCACCTTAGCCTCTCAAGGTGCTGGGATTACAGGCGTGAGCCACTGTGCCAAGCCAAGTCCTGGTGATTATTATCTCCAAACCATATCTGAATTCTGCCTTCTTCTTTCTGTTTCCACCACCATCGCCTTAGTCCAGGCACCATCATCTCTGTCCTCAGCTATAGTAATAGTATCCCAATTAGTTTCTCTACCTCCACCCTTGTTCCCCTCAATCCATTCTCCACATCCAGGCTAATGGTATATTAAAACAGATCAGATTATATCACATCTCTGGTAAAATTTTTTCAGTGCCTTTCTACTGTACTTAGAATAAAATGCAAATCTCTTCCAACAGCCCATCAGGCTCTGCACCAACTGTCTCTATCTCGTCTCCAATTTCATGTCACACTACTGTCTCCCTTACCCACTATGCTCCAGCCATGCTGTTCCACTTTCAGTTCCTCAATCACGCTATGTTCTTTCCCATCTCTGGGGGCCTTAGAATATACTGTTCCTTCCATCTGGAACCTTCTTGCCTCACTCTTCACATGACAAGTGCTTTCCCTTCCCTAGAAGTCAACTGAAATGTCACCTTCTCAGAAAAGCCTTTTCTTTTTTTTTTTTAACCCTCCTAAATTCAACCTTGAAGAGAAGCCTTTCTGACCACCTTACCCAAAAGAGACCCTTTCTGTTATTCACTATCTCAACTCCTTGTTTATTTTCTTGTACAGTATAATATTTTTACAGCTTGCAATAATCTTATTTATAGGGTTTTTTGTTTTTTAAAAAACTGGTCTCTTCCACTCTAAGCTCCATGGCAGGTTTGTCTAGTGCCCCAGTTTCTAGCATCCTGCTGGGCATGAAGAAAACAACTCGTAAAATATTTGAATGATGACCTCCAATTTGGGAATGGTCTCTTCTGTTTCTGTCACCCAAATGGCCCATTTTGTTGTTTCCTTTTTTTCTGGATTAAATCTTTTGTCTCAACTCACCTGGATCTGAGGTTCTTAGATGAATTTTAGGTTTTCGAAGCAACCAGGATGGGAGACCCCCCTGAGACAAACATAAAGACAACAAAGAAGCATGTAGGTTTTGTTGTTTGGGCGTTTGCCAGTTAAGAAGGGAGGGAGTTGAGTATAGTGCTGGAAATGGCCCTAGAATATGGGCAGATGGGAGGAGTCTAGGAACTGTACATAGGTAGTTTTTGTTCTATCCCAGCTAACTCACCATCTCCCACTCTGCACAGATGTAAGGTCCTGGTCTCAGTATGACCAACAGTTTCGCTATAGCTGCCTCGTGCAGAAAGGCAATGAGGTCCCGGCTGCCATTAAAGTTATAGACCCCAGGCTGTGGCTCATGGTAGTTCCAGGGCACATAACTGAGAAAGGAAGAGGTTAACAGGGCCCAAGGTGCGGAGATGCCAGGGAGGCCTAAGGGCTCAGGCCTTGCAGGCAATCTCCAGGAAGCCTTTGGGAGGTCATGGCCCACCCTTTCCCATCTTGGCCTAGGAACCCTGGAGCTCTAACCCCTCTTGAAACCGAGCCAGTCTTCCTGCCCCGACCCCCTTCCTAAGGGGGCGGTAGGAAGAATAAATTCCCCCTTCCACGGCTCTCGAGAGCACGTCTTACAATTGAACGGCGTTGAGGCCGCTCAATCGCATCTTCAAAAGCCGGTCTGCCCAGAGCACCCGCGGTACCCGGAAGTAGTGCAGGCTGCCAGACACGTAGCGGAACGGGACGCCGTCCAGGAGGAACCTGTCATGATCCCGATCCACTACGAACGACCGAGTGTCTGCCTGCAAAGGGAAAGCAGCAAAATCTGCAGGGAGGCTCAGCGTCTGCCAATAGCAGAGGACGTGGAACTAGCCTTGCCGGTTGTTTTGTTGTTGACTTTCTCTCATCTGTCTGATCTGATCCCACCCTACCCCTCCTAGCCGGCCGGTTCCACCCTCTTATCTTACCTGGGGCAGCAGCAGTGTCAGGAGCGACAGCAGCAAGGAGGGAAGGCGGGGCAGCTTCTCCGGAGCCATGGCGCTTACTGGGCTCATCTAGTCTGAGACGCCGTCCGACCATCACGTGTTGGATTCCTGGGAGGGAACCTCAGCGAGCAAGGGGGCGGAGACCACCTCAAGTTGCCAGGCGGTTAGCCTGGACTTTGTCTCCAGCTTGCAGCCACCCGCTACTCTATTAGTTTGTAAAATCCTCTACATCTTGCTATTCAAAGTACAGTTCACGAACCAGCTTCATTTGCCTCACCTTGGAGCTTGTTAGAAATGCAGAATCTCAGATTCTACCTCAGACCTACAGAATCAGAATTTGTATTTTAACAAGATACCCAGGCGATCCTAGGCACATTCAAGAATGAGAAACACTGCTCTCCTAGACTGAGCAGTGCCTTGTCCATCTTGAGCACAGGGCCTGGCACATGGCAGGTTAAATCTAGGTGAATGAATGTCAGAACCAAGGGGCAAAAACAGGTTCAGAACTAAGGAAAACCATTGGATAATCTTCATGGTGATTGGGGTGTGGAAAGGAGAACCAGGTTACAAGAGGGACCTTTTTCCTGGAGAGCCCTGTTTCAGCAAAAGAGCCCATCCTGACCACCTGACCATTCCATCTTTTTTGGAAGTGCACCCCTCCCCAACTTATCCCTGCCTACCTAGGCAAGAGATGTCAAGGACAAATGCTTGGTGCCAAGGCTTGGGAATTTGTGAACTTCCACTTCTCCTGCCTTCACAGTCCCAAGCTTGGGATATGAGGATCAGGGTAATAATAATTATTATTATTATTATCGTTTATTGACACTGAGGGCTATGTGTCAGATATTGTGCTAAGCACTTTACACCTCATTTCATCTTCAAACAACTCCATTAAGTAGACAATTATCATTCCCATTTTACAGATGAGGAAACTGAAGGACAGAAACATTAAGCAGCTTGTCCAAGGTCACATGACTACTTTAGTAGACATGGGATTTGAACTAGTCAGTCTGGCCTCACGGTTAATGCATTTAACCTTAGATGCTATTATACCTATTTTATAGCTATGAAAAATGAGGATGAGAGAGGTTAAGTAACTTTCCCAGGTCACACAGCTACTAGGCTCTTAAGACCGGATTTAGAAACTAGCAGTCTGGTTCAAGAGCCTGAGCTCTTAATCACTGAGACTAGAGGTAGGGGGATACAGGCCAGAGCCCAGAAGATTGTTAGGGATCAGAGCTCCAGGAGTCCAGACCTCCAGCACCCGCCCTTCCCTGGAACCCCCTCAGGGATGGACTGGAGTCGGCCGCTTTCTGGCCCCAGCGCGCCGGAGGTATGAGGCCTCCTACCTCCGACGTTGGGAGATGGAGGTCCTGGGGGCCTCGGGCCGGGGCCGGCTTTGCTCCCCTTTGGCGCAGGTGCCTGCGTCTTGATCCCTACTGAAGGCCAAGTAGGGAACCCTCACCCGGGTCCTGGGACCGGTCCAACCCCAGGCCTAGCCCGCCCCCGGCCTCTCAGCTCCGCGCCCCCACGTCGTCGGGGTGCCCAGCGGTTGCTAGGATACCGCGGGCCGTTACGCCGGCGCGGACTGATGATGTAAGCACTGCTTCCGGTCTCTGGCCCTTCGCTCCCGCCTGAGCCAGGTCAGTGGGCGGGGAGGGGGTCCCGGCTGGGCGATCCCGGGCTCTGCTCCCCGAGGCCAGGGCTAGCCTTTGCAAGGGGTGGGGGACACCTCTTCTGAAACTATGCCCTGCCTTGTGGCCCGATGGACGTGGGCGCGGGGGCTGCCCAAAGGTGAACTGGGGTTGGAGGAAGTGGCCTGGTAGTCACTGCGTGTCCAGAGGCTTTCAGGAACCTGACCCAGCCTTGTTGAAGTTGGCATCGCCAGGGCCAGTTCTTTCTAGACGGGAATATAGGTTCCAAGACCTGAGCCTGAACTGTACGCCTTGGTACTTCAGGGATCATGTGCATTGTGCCAGACTTGCGACCCTGCCGTTGTTATCCTTCCAGTATGCTCCCCGGGGCCTCCAGCACATCATCTGGAAGAGCCCACTCACCCTGGACGAACCCTTCGGCAGCCTCAGACCACCCTTGAGGAGAATGACCAAGACATTATGGGCCACGCGCTGTGTGTCTGCTCTCGGGGAACTGTCATCATTGACAATAAGCGCTACCTCTTCATCCAGAAACTGGGGGAGGGGTGAGTGTTGGGAAATCACTTAGCCCGTCCCCAGGGGTATGGTCATAGAGGGACAGATCTGTCTGCACGTGTTTGGGGTAGAAAGGTTTTATCCCTGTTCTCTAACTCACCTGACAGACAGCTGCATGGTAGTCAAGAAGGTGGATTCTGGAGCTAGGCCTCCTAGATCCACCTTATGTGACCTTGATAAGCCATGGTTTTTTCATCTGCCTAATGGAGATGATTATCATTCCTCAGTAATGGAGTTGTGAGGATTAAATGAGATAATGTATATAAAATGTCTCACCCAGTGCCTGGTTTATAAGCACTTAATAATGTTGGCTATTATTCATTTAAGCATCTGTCACAGGCAGAGCACTGTATTATGACCATAGGACCTCAAGGATTTCTATGTCCCTACTGTCGAGGAGCTCAAAGTGTAATAATCTTCAGACTTCTGTTAGAGCCACATCTTGGGAGGGTTTCTACTAAATGGGAGAGACAGCCCCTCCCTCCCAGGGAATTCCTCTGGGTCCAAGCTGTGTGGGAGATGACAATGGTCCTTCACTGACCCCTTTGGCCCACAGTGGGTTCAGCTATGTGGACCTAGTGGAGGGGTTACATGATGGACACTTCTACGCCCTGAAGCGAATCCTGTGTCACGAGCAGCAGGACCGGGAGGAGGCTCAGCGAGAAGCGGACATGCATCGCCTCTTCCATCACCCCAACATCCTTCGCCTCGTGGCTTACTGTCTGAGGGAGCGGGGTGCTAAGCATGAGGCCTGGCTGCTACTACCTTTCTTCAAGGTCAGAAGGACTCCTGGTTATGGAGGGGGTTGCAACAGAGCCACCTACCAAGGGCTGTGTGAGCAGTCAAGCATGTTAGGAAGCAGAGGCCATGTCCTGGGTTTGGCCACATCAGATTTGGGCTTTGAGGTGTGTGTCGCGAAATGGTTGATAGACTTCGAGAAGGGAAGGGATCGGGCCCAGGGAGCAGAGGCTCCAAAAACATGTTCCAAGTGTGGGGAAACTTTTGTTGCAGAGAGGTACGCTATGGAATGAGATAGAAAGGCTGAAGGACAAAGGCAACTTCTTGACTGAGGACCAAATCCTTCAGCTGCTGCTGGGTATCTGCAGAGGCCTTGAGGCCATTCATGCCAAGGGTTATGCCCACAGGTCAGTGGGAGGGCCCTGTGTATTTGCTGGGGTGGAGAGGAAGAGCCTGACCAAGAAAAATTGGAGGTCTCTGCTCTCCTCCCAGGAAACAGCCTGCATGATTCTTTTGCTTCCTGGGATTTCAGCCTTCCTGTCCTAGGATGCTCACAGGTCATTTCCATTTCCCTACAGGGACCTGAAGCCCACCAATATCTTGCTTGGAGATGAGGGGCAGCCAGTTTTAATGGACTTGGGTTCCATGAATCAAGCATGCATCCATGTGGAGGGCTCCCACCAGGCCCTGACCCTGCAGGTAAGAAAATCTCCAGGTTCCTTTGCCCACCTGTTCACCCCAAACCCCTTCTGGTGCATGCCCCAATCTGGTCACATGACTGTGGCTTGTGCTCCACTTTTGAGCTCTGGGACCACTGTTCCAGGACTGGGCGGCCCAGCGGTGCACCATCTCCTACCGAGCCCCAGAGCTCTTCTCTGTGCAGAGTCACTGTGTCATCGATGAGCGGACTGATGTCTGGGTGAGGAGCATGTGGGTGGGAATCTGGGTGGAGAGGGTGTGTGGCTCTGTACCCACTGTGGAGTAGAGAAGTAGGTCTTTGGTTTCTGTTGTATGGGGCCCCAGGAACCATGATATGTCCCCATCTTCCTTGACTTCCTTCCTGGGAACTGTCACTGATACCCATACTGAGTTGCACAGGAAGTGGTATAATCCCTGCCCCCAAACAGGGTGGGTGCAGCTCAGTGTTGGTGCTGAAGGCAGTGGCTAAGCAAGGGCTGCAGAGGCCTCCAGCTTACTGGCAGTTTCTCTGGGCCCTGATGGTGCCATGTGGCTGAGGTTAGCGTATTCTTTTTAGCTTATATAGTCTCCTTTCACCACAGAAATAAGGGGAACAATATCATCTCCATTGGTCCCCTTCCAGGGATTAACCAAGTTATGCTCAGTCCCTAGGCTGTGTGCTATATGCCATGATGTTTGGAGAAGGCCCTTATGACATGGTGTTCCAGAAGGGTGACAGTGTGGCCCTTGCTGTGCAGAACCAACTCAGCATCCCGCAAAGCCCCAGGTGAGCAGTACAAGGGGCACCGAACATTTCAGACCCCCCTGGATTAGCTGAGTTGGCACCTTGGCAGGGGGCATAGTGTCCTCCAGTCACCCTGCCCTCCTCCCTTCACAGGCATTCTTCAGCAGTACGGCAGCTGCTGGCCTCGATGATGACTGTGGACCCCCAGCAGCGCCCTCACATTCCTCTCCTCCTCAGCCAGTTGGAGGCCCTGCAGCCCCCAGCTCCTGGCCAGCACACTACCCAAATCTGAACAAACCAGTGGCCACACTAAGAAGGTGGCCCCTTGTGCCTTGGAAAGAGGCACCCATCCCTCATTGGAAACTCCATCCATTCTATCCAGGATGCTTTCTAACAGATGGGGGCAGTGAGTGGGGACCTTTTTGCTCTGTGACCCCCAAGAGCAACACCTGGGTAAGGGGCCTGACTGAGTAGGGGAGGGGTGGGGATTGGGAAAAGAGAAACTGACAGAATATGGTCCATGGCTCTGAGCAGGACTACTGAGCTCACATCATGTTCTGCCTCCAAATCCAGGAGCAGGAGAATGTGTAAACAAGAATAAAGTGAAAGCAGGTTGGTGTGGATCTTAGTCTCAATGTTTCTGGAGTGAGAGAAGAGGTGCAAAGGGCCCAAAGTCTGGTTGCCATTTCCAAGGGAACACCTGGTATAGAGTCGGCAGTGGTGTGACTTCATCATTCCATGTAAGGAGGCTGTTTCCTTACCTTAGATCTGGCTGGCTGGCAGTGGGAAAGTCTTCTAGCTTGTCTCAGTCAAAAACTTAAAGCTGCTCTGGCTTGAGCTGGCTTCTACCTGTGCCAAGGACTGGAACCAGGGCCCCCGAAAAGCACACTCAACTAGTTCTTTCCTTCCTTTACTCCCAGGGGTGAGTAGCTTAGTCAAAGCAACCCAGCTGGTTTGCTAGGCAAGGGCTTCTGGGTGGAGACACCTGAAGAGGCTTTGGGACAGATACATTAACAGATCTCCCATCCTTAGCCTAGGGGCAGGGGAGTGGAGGTGGCAGCCATTTTGGCCCCTGTCTCCCTGATGGTTCTAGCTCATACATGATTAATGATTAATGAGGCAGTCTGGTGTGGCCGACTCCAGCTGCCACTTCCTGCCTACTCTGCTGAATAAATGGGTCCTGCTGTAGCTGGGCTTGAAACCTGTTCCCCAAGGAAGGGCACTGTGTCCCTGAATCACCAGGGAGGGTAGGCAAGGGCAGGGTTGGCGTCTCCTACTCTTGAGATTGAAGCTTCCTCCCCTCAACCATTCCCACCTCATATGCTGACATCAGCGTGGGTCCTGGGGTGCCTATTAGCAAAGTTGAAATTTTCCCCAGGGCCCTGGCAGGAGGCTCCCACCAGCTAGCACAGAGGCAGAGGCCAGAAAGAAAGCACAAACAGAGGGAGATGACCTGACTTTTAATGGCACAACCCCAGCCCCAGCAAAGCAGCAAGACAGACAGGAAGCTGTGCAAAGCTGCTGGGAAGTTCAGTGGCACAAACAGCCCAGGAGATTGCCCTCGTTCCCTCCCATCCCCCAAGCTTATGATGTGGCTTTATGCCCAGGAACTCTGGGCCAGCCCAGCCCCATTTCCAAATCCTCATAACGCACAAAGGAGCCTGAGCCAAGCCTTGCTTCCAGAGTTGGTGAATGCAGAGGCAACAGGAGGAATAGGGTAGTAGTCCAGCTCTCAAATACAGAAGCTACTGGACTTAAACTCCTACTTGGAAAAGAAGTGAAAACTCATATCCTTCAACAGTTGGTGGCTGGACAGACAAGTCCAGGATTCGGTACTCATTTCTTCCCTATCCTGCGTGCCCCTATGACCTTACATCAGGGTCCTGGGGTCATGCTTCCTGGGCCTGGCAAGGGCCTCTTGGCAAGTCTCCCCTTCAGCCGTGGAAGGGAAAAGTGTTGTCAGCAGCAAACACTGAGGGCAGCAGCAGCAGAAGCAGCACAAAGGGGAAGGCAGCAGAAGCTCAAGCACTCACAGAAGGGACAAGAAACTGTGCAAGGAGACTGTTTATTTCGAAAGGCTTTTGCAATAAACATAGTGGAGAGTCTCCAGGCAGCTATTTTATTCTTCTCCCTCATCCTCATCCTCATAGGAGTCGATGCCCACTTCCTCGTAATCCTTTTCCAGGGCGGCCATATCCTCCCGGGCCTCGGAGAACTCCCCCTCCTCCATGCCTTCACCCACATACCAGTGCACAAACGCTCTCTTGGCATACATCAGGTCGAACTTGTGGTCCAGGCGGGCCCAGGCCTCGGCAATGGCAGTGGTGTTGCTCAGCATGCACACGGCACGCTGCACCTTGGCCAGGTCACCCCCAGGCACCACAGTAGGCGGCTGGTAGTTGATACCAACCTTGAAGCCTGTGGGGCACCAGTCCACAAACTGAATGCTGCGCTTGGTCTTGATGGCGGCGATGGCGGCGTTGACATCTTTGGGCACCACGTCTCCACGGTACAGCAGGCAGCAGGCCATGTACTTGCCATGGCGAGGGTCACACTTGACCATCTGATTGGCCGGCTCGAAGCAGGCATTGGTGATCTCTGCCACCGACAGCTGCTCATGGTACGCCTTCTCTGCAGAGATGACGGGCGCATAGGTGGCCAGGGGGAAGTGGATGCGGGGGTAGGGCACCAGGTTGGTCTGGAACTCTGTCAGGTCCACGTTGAGGGCCCCGTCGAAGCGCAGGGATGCCGTGATGGAGGACACGATCTGGCTGATGAGGCGGTTGAGGTTGGTGTAGGTTGGGCGCTCGATGTCCAGGTTGCGGCGGCAGATGTCATAGATGGCTTCGTTGTCCACCATGAAGGCACAGTCAGAATGTTCCAGGGTCGTGTGGGTGGTCAGGATGGAGTTATAGGGCTCGACCACGGCTGTGGAGACCTGGGGGGCTGGGTAGATGGAGAACTCCAGCTTGGATTTCTTGCCATAGTCAACAGAGAGCCGCTCCATGAGGAGTGAGGTGAAGCCAGAGCCGGTGCCCCCTCCAAAACTGTGGAACACCAGGAAGCCCTGAAGTCCTGTGCACTGATCAGACTGAAAGGCGAGAAAGGAAAAGAGCAATTTAGGTAGGGAAGGGGCCTGAGGGACTCTTATCATCTGGCTCCATAAAGCCTAAAATATCTCAGAAGTCAGGGCAAAGACTAATTAGTATGCCATGGCAGCATCACACTCTGGAGCATGTACAGTTAGAGATGACCCCTTGAAATGGATCTGAAAAAATTTTCCTGACCATTAGCATAGTCTCAAAAGCTCCCTCCCTTCCGAGACAAATTCTTACCAGCTTGCGGATCCGGTCCAGTACCGGGTCAATGATCTCCTTGCCAATGGTATAGTGACCACGTGCATAGTTGTTAGCAGCATCCTCTTTCCCAGTGATGAGCTGCTCTGGGTGGAAGAGCTGTCGGTATGGGCCATTTCGGATCTCATCTGCAAGGGCATAAACCACACCGTTAGAGCAAAAACCACAAGGCTGTGCTTAGCAGGGACCTTCCTCCCCCAGGGTGGTAGCTGTGGCCAGATGCATGGAAGAGCTCATCCTTCTGCCAGCCTGAGATAGCAGAGTGTGGAAGAAACCCGGACCTGCTGCCCAGGCCAGCCTGAGATCAGCTTGCCTTCTTCAGCTTCACATAGGGCTAGGAGTTTTCAGGGCCAAGAAAGCCCCGTCTAAACACCCTCTTTCCAGAGAGAAGCTTTGAGTCACTCTCTAGCCCCCTCAATTTTGCCCCCTCTTCCTCTCACCAATTACAGTAGGCTCCAGATCCACAAAAACTGCTCGGGGCACATGTTTTCCAGCACCAGTTTCACAGAAGAAGGTGGTGAAGGAGTCATCCCCTCCACCAATGGTCTTGTCACTGGGCATCTGCCCATCAGGCTGAATCCCATGTTCCAGACAGTAGAGCTCCCAGCAGGCATTGCCCATCTGGACACCTGCTTGCCCCACGTGGACTGAGATGCATTCACGCTGTGGGATAAAGAGGAGACATGGCGTAAGCCTCACATGCACAAGTCCTCCTCACCTCACGAGCCCTCTCTTCCACCCTCTCACCTACCAGCTGGGATGACTCAGTTGGCAAGAGTGGAGCTTGGAGCTGGGCAGCGATGGGAAGAGGCTAGCACCCTGCCCAGGCTCCCCTGCACAGGACGCCCCAGCTGGAGGCACCCAGTAGGGCAAGCCAACCCCTTAACCTACTTCTCAGGGAATTTGTCAAGTGAGTGCTGTGGCTCCACATGACCCTGCCACCTTTATAGGACACTCAAGGAGGACAGAGAGGGCAAGTGTATAAGAGACAGGCAGACACTGCAGTAACTGACAAGGATAAGAGACTTTTCAGGTGTTCCTGTTCCCTACTGCCCATAAACCCAGCTTCTAAAGAGCCAGGGTAGAGGGAGAAGGTTTTCCGGAGCTGAGAGTTTACAACTAGAGTTTAGAGCCCCCCCCCTCACTTGATTAATTCTTTGCTTTGAAGATGAACAGCTAGAATTTCACACAACCGTTTCCCCGTTTTTCCTGCGGGCTGCAGAGGTGTCTCTGTCTTCCAATCCGGCATCAACTGACCACACTGGGCATGAGGATGCCCTCTTCCCTCACCTTTAAATCCCTTCTGGCTCTGGGGATCAGTCCCATCTGGCTCCTCTCCCCACCTCCACCCCCGCTCCCTGGGTGTCTTCACCACCTTCACCCACCGCACCGAAATAGCAGCGGTAATGCCGGTAAACGCAGACAGCAGGGGCGGGCAATAAGGGTTGTGGGGACTGGGGCACTCGCTGCCTTAGGCTCCGTCCCTGCCAGTCCGAAATTAACCCCTGAAGCACCAGAGTCCGCAGGGCCCGCGCGCCTCCCTCCCCACACCTACAGGGCGGGGTGACGGTTTCCAAATACCCAGAAAAGGAAGCGGAACCTGCGGTGAGGCCCCAGTGCTAACCCGCCTGCCTTGCCGGGGGCAAGGTGAGCGCCATCCTGCACCCCAGCCCTCCATCCCTCTCCCGCTGAAGTCTTTCCAGTTACATCCCAGCAGACAGAGGGGATTGGGTTTCGGCCTCCGCTCCTGGGCTATAAATACCAGCCCCCTACACACACCTCTATCCCCTCCCCCCAACCTGGCCCTGGCCCGCGCTGCCGCTCGGCGCCAGCTGTCTCTGCCCGTCCGCGCACTCGCCCTCTGGCTGGAGAGGGGCCAGCTCGCCTCACGAGGCCGAACCCCATTCCCGCCACCCCTGTAGGCTCAGAAGCGGGGTGCTGAGTCACTGGCGGGGGCGGGGGATGAGGGTAGAAGGGATGCATACAGAGAGGAAAAGGGGATGCAAGTAACCTGACCCCCTTCCACCTTCTTGTGCCAAGCACGTGCTCAGTCAGTTCCGGGGACTGGGGAGTAGGGCTGGGGGCCAAGCAGGTCTTCCTTCGCCCGCGGAAAGGACTGGGCGCGGGACCGCGTGACTCTCCTCAGGAGGGTCGGGGCGCAAATGCTTGGTGAGGCAGGAGGGGACCGCCAAGAAGCTCCTCTCTGCTGGCGAAAAATCCCACCCCACCCCACGACATCCCCGGCCTCCGAAGGTAAACAACACGCCCCGGCCAAAGTCACCAGGAGGGGACTGGGGAGGGGAGATGCAAAACCCTTGCACCTCCTCGAGATCCGGAACGCCCGGTGGAGGTCCCCGAGCATCCCTGGAGGGAAAGTCCCCGAAGGAGAGGGGCCAGTTAGGGGACGGGCGCGATCTCGGCGGGGTCGCACTCACCATGGTGAGTCCGGGCGGTGGGTCTCACGTAGAGTCGGGGTGACGGGTCTCAGTGAGAACTGCGCTAGCTGCAGTGCCGCACCGCTCTTATAGGCGGGGGCGGGCCTCGCACGCCTGCTTGCCCACTGGGGGCCGGGCGGCCCGGAGGCCACGCCCCCGAAGGTAGGCAGCCCCGAGGGGTGGGGCCAGGCCGGGTCCCGTCCTCCTGCTGCGTCCACGTCCCTCACCTGTTCGGCTTCGGTTAGGAGCAGCGAGCCGGGCTTTAACCCTTTGTTCCCCATTTGGAGACGATACTCTGGGACCCTGAGGTCCGCAGCAGAGGCGCAGGGTGCGGTGACAGGGCGCGTTCCGCCTGTATCTGCGTCATCGGGGCGCCGGTCGTCCAGGTATCCGGACTTAGGACGGGTGCAGTCGAGGCCGTCCTTCCGAGGGCGCTGCAGCTGGCCTTCGCCAGTGCTCTCCCCGTCCTGCCTCCTGGGAGTCTTTGGCCGGCTGTGAGGCTCCGGCGGGTCCCTGGGGAACCCCCTCCAGCGGCACGCCACCTGCTGGTCCCCGGCCGGGGAGGCAGGCCTTCGCCGACGCCCGTGGGTGGCTGAGGACCTGGAGCCTAGCTGCACAGCCTGAGCCCCAGGATGCCTATCCCTTAGACTCTCCTGCAGAGCCGAGCCCCGCGGCTCATCTGCTAGGACAGACCCCGAGAATCTGCCGCGGCTTGCTGGCCTCCAGCGGGTCAGTGGCCTGGTCATCAGCGCGGTCACTATTAGTGAACCCTCGCTGTGGCCACCTTCCTGCTCTCCTGCTGCCAGAACTGTGGGAGCGCTGGACCTGGAGCTCTCAGGACTGGGATTCGCATCCAGACTGCTCTGTGTGATCTTGGGCAAGTGACTTAACCTCACTGAGTTTTTGACATTTTCATCAGTGAAAAGTAGACAATGATTCCATCCTGGAAGCATGGTTGCCAGGAGTCGAAATGTTTGTTGACTCCGAAGAGGAAAAAAAGAAAATCAAGATTCTCATATCATGGCTGATTTTGACTTTCCCATCTTCTTATGTCTCTAAGCCGCGATAAGGGTCTGCCACCTGCATCCTAATGGCCTCAGCGCTCAGCCCCAGACCTCAGCAGAAGACATTCCTTCTTTCTACAGTTCATTCCCATTTCTTGCAAGACCAGGTCTTTTTGAGCTACTTCTGCTTTTCCTTACTTGCTTTACATTTTCCAGTTCCTCCCTTCACTGGGGAAATTCACTGGGCAGTGCCTCATGTGCTGGTTGGCACATCCTTAGGAAGCCTGTCTCCCAGGCTAGTCATTACCTGGAAAGGATTCACCTGCCTCTCCTCCCATTGTGTTTCCCCATTGCCAAGGCTGTCTGACAAAGCAACACAGTACCATAAAGTAACTAATGATGACAACTTTCTATCAACAGAATAGCTAATTGGCATTTGACTTAGGCAAGGCACAGGAAGGGATACGGTGAAATATGACAAGGTCTTTCTTCCCAGTAGACTTGCCATCTGGTTAGAAGAACAAAACTCATCGATAAACAAGAAAACTGACAAGGGTGTATACTGAGGCTGCTTTGGGGAATGGGATTGTGGTCTCTATAAAGGAAGGAGCCTTGATGATTGCAGGACACATGGCCTCTTGCAGACCATCTCTGACCCTCTTTTTTCCTTGTGCACCTCTACCCCAGCAGATGAATATGGTAAGAGACCTGGGCTATCTTAGCCAAAACTTTAAACCTCTTTGACTGTCAGGTGCAGATTCTTTATCTGTAAAACTGGAATAGCAACTTCAGGTCGTGAGTATCAGATGAATTTAGGGATGTGCACATTCATAGCAAATTGCTGTGTAAGTAGCTGTCTGGGTTCTTAGAGCACTTTGTTCATATTTATTTTAGTGCATATAGCACATCATGCTGTAGTTATTTGTGTACATGTCCATCGTACTAGATAGCAAACTGTTGAAGGTAAGGAGTGTCTTTGTGTCTCTAGTTCTTAACATTGTACTCAGGACACATGGTATGCATTTGCTAGGTGCATGTCAAATGAATTGTTTCACTTCAGAGATGGGACTAAAATTAGGGTAGAACTCTAAGAAGCCAGAAGTTGCAAATTGGCAACTAGGCCAAATCCCCTCTCAGAAATGATTTTTTGGTCTAAACGGTGTGTTAACCCCCATAGCATTTAGAATATAAAAAAAGTCAGGACTTGTCATGGTGTTGGGGCATCCCCCAATCCACCCCTCTGTTAAGAGATTCTCTAGAAGGACTCATAGGACCCAGCATACAGCTGCACTTACAGCTAAGGTTTATTCGTGAGGTCGCAAGGATACACAGCCGGATCACAAAGGGGATGATGCAGGAGTGGTCTTGGGGAACCTGTGCCTTCTCCCTTCCATAGGGCTCACCTAGAGTGTACTCTTCCTCCAAAATAAAAATGCAGCATCATTTCCCTGCATTATTTCTGCCCAAGGAAGCTCAATGAAGACTTAACACCCAAAATTTTACTGGGGACTTGTCACCTTTGCCTGGCACATACCAAAATTCCAGGCTTCCAGAAGAAAAGCACTGTTTGGCATAAACCATATTGTTTACACAAGCAATCAAAGCACAGTGAACCATCTTTATCCACTAGCAAGTTGACCGGGAACACTCTGAGAACCAAGTTCCCAGATGCCAGCCAAAGGACACCTTTGCAAGCCCTTTCTAAGGACAGCAGCCTCAGGCCTGCCATAGTAACTCTTCTTTACAGTCATATGAAAATTCAGGTTTCTAGTTTATCTTGAAAAGAACTGGAATATCTGGCCATACTGGGTCTGCATTCCCATTTAGCAAGCGTGGTAGGCAGAATGCCACCCCCCCACCCCCTACCCCCCGCTTAAGATGTCCACATCCTAGTCTCTGGAACCTGTGATTATATTACCTTATATGACAAAAGACTTTGCAGATGTGATTAAGGTAAGGATCTTGAGATGGGGAGATTATCCTGGATTATCCAGATAGACCCAGTGTAATCACTAGGGTCCTTATAAGTGGAAGAGGGAGGCAGGAAGGTCAGAGTCAAACAAGAGGTCAGAAGCAGAGGTCAATGTGATGTGATTGTTGGCTTTGAAGATGGATAGGAGCAACGAGTCCAGGTATGTGGGAAGCCTCTAGAAGATGGACAGGGCAAGGAACAGATTCTCCCCTAGAATTTCCAGAAGGAAGGTAACTCTGCCAACACCGTGGTTTTAGCTCTTGGGGCACTTGGGGAGCTCTGCCATGGCCAGCATTAGCATGTCATCTGCTTTACTGCTGACTCAGGTGCTTCTTGCCACCATCCTCTCATTCCTGGATGCCTGCAGTAGCCTCCTACCCAACTTCCTCTTTCTGCACTTGAACCCCTAGAATGCATTCTCCAAAGCAGCTGCAGTCATCTCTCTAAAACACAAACTAGGCATCAATGCTTGCTTAAAAACCTCCATTGCACTTATAATAAAGCTGTCTGCCTCTATGATCTCATCTTGTACAGCTCTCTCTCTCTCTCTTTACTCTGTTTCTTTGCACACATTGGGCTTGCTCCTATCTATGAAATTTTGCACGGAATTTTCTCTGCCTGGAGCACTAATTTCCAGATATTGCCTGGCTGAGTCCTCATCATTCAGGTCTCAGTTCAAACATCATCTCCTTAGAGAGCTGCTCCTTCTCTGTTCAGTCTAAAATAGTAGCTTTCCCCTCCTCCCAACTTTCTGTCCTATTATCTAGTTTTTTTTTTATGTTATATTTTGTTTTTTTAGAGGTAGAGATCTCACCCTGTCACCCAGAGTGGAGTGTAGCGGCAAGATCATAGCTCACTGCAGCCTCAAACTCTTGGGCTGAAGTGATCTTCCTGCCTCAGCCTCCAGAGTAGCTGAGACTACAGGTGCTCACCACCATGCCCAGCTCCAGCTAATCTTTAAAATTTTTTGTAGACATAGGGTCTCACTATATTGCCCAGGCTGATCTCATACTCTTGGCCTCAAGCAATCCTCCTGTCTCAGCCTCCCAAAGTGCTAGGATTACAGATGTGAGCCACTATGCCTGTCCTGTTTTGTTTTCTTCATGTGCTTATTGCTATCTGAAATTTTCCTCTTTGTTTGTTTATTATCTGTTATCCCCACAAAAATGTAAGCTTCTTAAGAGCACAGACTTTTTTGTCCACCACTGTATCCCTGGCACCCGGAATAGTGCTTGGCATATAGCAGGCACTCAAAAAATAATTGTTAGAGGAATTAAGAGTATTGATTGCCTGTTAGTTTATAACTTAGATACATTAATATGCTTTTAAAATCTCAGCCTCTTTACTCTGCTTTACTTAAGACATCTGCCCGCCATTAGGATAGTTTTCTTTTCAGAGTTGGGGATGCCTAGGCTGACTGAAATGTCCAACTCCAAAGGCCAATTTGGAGACATGTAAGTGCTACACAAGACAGTTTGGGGCCCAGTGGTCCATCTAGGCCCCAAGTCCTCCATTTGGGCAATAATTCCTGAGGTCTATGGCTTCACGGACCAACCCAATGGGGGGCTGAACTTCCTTATCTTAGATGTGTTGGTTGGCTGTGTCCTCTGTCCGGGCCTCTTTGTTCCGGGTGGGAGAGAGAAGAGTTCTAACTTTGGAGACTTTAGTCCATAGCCAAAGCCACAATTAGCCATCTTGAAATTCTGGGTCATTTCCTGGCACGCTGTGATGAGAGGGGCTCTGAAAAACCCCTGTCTCAAGATAACTCTCCCACCATGCACCACATTGGCAACTACCTCCTGGATAGGGTTGCTAGATAAAATACTTTATTTATTAAATCTGGCACCCTTATTCTCTGGGAGAGTGGCTGATGAAATGTATAGTAGTCCCGCCTTATCCATACATTCCATGACCCCCAGTGGATGCCTGAGACCCTGGACAGTACCAAACCCTATATACACTATTTTCTTCCTATACATACTACCTATGATAAAGTTTAATTTATCCATTAGGCACAGTAAGAGATTAACAACAGTAACTAATAATAAAATAGAATAATTTTAACAATATGCCAGCATTGCTACTTTGGTATTTTGGGGCCATTATTAAGTAAAATAAGGGTTCCTTGAGCACAAGCACTGCGATACCACCACAGTTGATCTGATAACTGACATTGCTACTATTAATAAGCGGCCAGAAGGCAGGGAGCATCTCCAGCATGGAGATGCTGGACAAAGGGATGTCCCAGGTGGAATGGAGCAGGATGGCATGAGATTGCATCACAGTACTCAGAACAGCATGCTATTTAAAAGTTATGAATTGTGAATTTCTGGGATTTTCCTTTTAATGTTATATTTTTGGACTGTGGTTGACCAAGGGTAACTGAAATCATGGAACAAGAAACTGTGGGTAAGGAGGGACTACTGTAGTGTAGTTTCCAGCCGCATTAGGCTCCATCTGAGGTTAGTGGTCATGCATTTGAAAGATCAGTCAGCATGGTTCTGGGTTTTTGTGCAGCCACTGTTCAGCTGGATGAGTGCAGGCACAGAGCTGATGAAGAAATGGATTTAACCAGGGTTGCGGTTTGGTCAAACAAGGATGCTGAAGCTGGGGAGACAAGAGAGCTGAGGGGTGTGCCAGCCAGGGACCCTGACTGGCCATGGAATTGAAGATTGGAAGGAGATTAAGACACAGGAGGGGCTACAGGGCAGTGAACACTGTGTGGAAAGACACGCCCCAGATGAATCTTAATTCCACCCCAATTA